GATTACGTGTTAATAATATACATGGAAAAATACGAGATGGCTTATCATAATTAAACATAAGCAAAGCGCGCGCGTCAAGTGCAAAAATAATTTATTCAAACCTTGCGTTCGGTCAAAACAACCGCGTACGATCAAAACAATAATAAATTGTCTAATGATATCTTCACATCTTTAAGGTGCAAAAAAGGTCAAAGTCCGGCTAAACAGTTCAAAGAATTGTTCAGTCTGTGTCCTAATCACTTAAGATAAAATGGAATCGTCGTTTCCGAGGTTTAACCATGTTTGTTTTTAATTTCGGCGTGTGATCGCTCGAGCAAAGTGTTAAGCTGGGTCGGCTCGTAATTTTCGATTTCCTCGGCGATTCCCTTCTCTAAACACCACTTTTTCCAAACTGACAACCAAAGAGCAGTGCTTTTTACAGTGTTTTCGTTGTTTAAGCTGTTTTTTAGCTGCGGCGGCGAAAGAAAGCCAACTTAAAACACCGACCATTGTTTCGCTCGCAAATTTTCAAATTTTGTTGCGACATCCAAGGCTCGCATTTGATTGGCTATCTGTGAGTTTCTTTGATTATCGACCAATCAGAATGTCTGATTTGTTTCTTTCTTTGCATTGAATGAACCCTCTTCTGCACTGAATTAACTCTCTTCTGCACTGAATTACCTGAAAACTGCATTTATCTTAACCAATCAGAACTAAGTAATCTTTTTCATGTATATTATTAGTGCTGAAATGGATTGCTATACTCTAAAAGCGTCAAAGGGAAGTTAAGCGTTACCACTTTATCGCTGTTTTCCATGAGTTAAAAGTGCTGCCTTTGAAAAGGTAAGGTCTTCAATGCCTTTAATACACTGTCGAGAGGCTTGATTTACGTGCCGCTCAAGTTCGAAAATATTGGCAGTTACAGCTGTTTGCTCTGTTCTCAAGTAGGAACTACCAATCCACTATGTATCTGTTTTACGATGCTCTGGCTTTGGCTTTTAACCAGTGGCATCACGTAGGGTACTCGTATGACTTTCATTTCCGGTGAAGCAAATTTATGGATAAGTGGACAATCAGTGGTAAGGATGAATATTGGAAAACAGATTAATTTTTCCACTCAAGATGAAGTCCGAATTGGTGTTGTCAACATAGATGAGCGATACTTTCAAGGAAGAATCACCGCCATACAACTTTAAGACGTGGCCCTGAACACTTAGCAAATAAAAGCCGTGGAAGACGTTGGTCAAGGCGGTAATTATTCTGAGAATAATTTAATTTATGCCAATTAATGACTTCTTCATGAACCAGTTAACTTGGTACCTCAACCTTTAAATTTCTACAAATCTTTTGCACAATCCTTTGTAGGGTCTTCTATCAGGTGTAATGAGCGAGGCCATTTTACTGATAGAGGTTCATGAGTTGGTAGCTGATGTTTATGCAGACAAAAAGCCCTTTCAGAATGGGGTGAATGCAGAAGCTCTGGTGACAGCTACACCTGTTCCTGTGTTGAAGGATTCCAGGGAAAAAATTGCGAAACTGGTGAGTAAAAGCCTCACAAAAAGTGTGCCAACGATGAAAGAGTGAGGATACTGCAATACCTTTGGTCAAAATTGCGACGAGTTTATTTTAAAAATGAAAGCTTAAAATTGACAACATGACTCCACTGCAGGTTACGCACCGTTCGTCTCCGATTCAGGATCACAGGACCTTCCCTGACCCCACCTTTCCCTTCTCTTTTTGTTGGACAATTTCGTCCTTATTCTTGTTATCAAATTTTCTATTTAGAATGGATTTAAACTAACTGGTTGTTCCGTTTTAAGCCTATATTTTTCGCTGCGTGGCTAAATTAAAGAACTTCAGAAATTCTCGACTAGATTTTTCCAAACTGCTCGCCAAAACTGCTCCAAGGAAAGGTTGGCATATTTTTGCTTCAAGACTGACTGTAGCGACAAACTAAATATAAAGATACACAGACACACAGGGCAAACCATAATTGATATTAATAAATTGATTGATCCAATAACTCATGTCGATACCTAAAAAATCAATCTTAATAGATGTTTCTTTTCAAAAAAAAAGCAAAACAAAATTAGAAAGAGACGCCATAGCTCTTAAGTTATTCGTTGTATTCGCGCTTGATTTGTCCTCCCCTGAACCGACACAGAAGAAAAGGCTTGACTTTTTTCATATCAGAACACTGAAGAATGAAATTTCGAACTCGAAAAGTACTTCAACCTGCCTCTCAGGAATAGACCTTTGAGCTTAGAAATTTTAACTTTGATGTTTTCCATCCTGGCTAGATATCAACGAGTGTATAACTTTAACTCCATGCCAAAACAGGGGACAGTGCATAAACACACACGGCAGCTACGAATGCAAATGCAAACCTGGGTTTACGGGTAAAAATTGTGAAAAAGGTGAGAAAATTATTGGGCAAAGCAAGTAACAAGTGATTTGCCCAATTAATAACTTATTTGTGCGAGGACTGGACAAATCCCGAGAGGATTCCGGCAGAAACATTTAAATACGCCCTTTGGTATGTAACTGAAATATTTGTGTAATCAACGCGAACATTACCAAGAGAAGAGCGGACCAGAATTTTTTACTTTTTGCTAATATAATGTGCAAACATTAAACTCCTCTGTTTCCTGTTTCGACGCCTGGTCTTCTAATTCTTCACCTTCGACCACGAGTTCGAATCAGTCAAAAGTTTTGCTCTCGCCGAGAAGGGAAGAGCATACGCCGACGAATAGCCAGCCCGAAGTCAACGGCCCACGGACCGCCAAGAGAACAAGTCGTAAGTCAAAAGGCTCGACGAAAAGGCATTTGAAAGCTCAAGACTTCAGAAACACACAAGCCGACAGAAGCCTGCCAAATGGGTAAATCTGACAACTGAAAGGTAAAACAATTCCTTATTTACCGTCGACCTCGTTTTCCATGTTCAAGTTCAGGAGTTAAAGAATTCAGTTATCACTTACGATGTTATCGTAAAGACCTTACTCTTTTCAACAACTGACCGAATATTCGCGTAGTTAAACTGTTTACATTCAAGAGATACCTTTCTATTTGAAGAAACCCGGGAAACATCGATGCCATGGTTTAGGAAATGTGTAAGCAAACTTTTA